GTTGCAGCTGACGCGACTGATAGCAGACGACGCGTTCAACGCCTTCAAGATCGTACTGCATTAGTGCACAGCCGATTGCGAAATCGCTGGCATCACAGACCACATGAAATGGCCTGTCCTGATCGGCTATTGCTAGGACTGGGGATTGTATCAAGCTCTGCTTGATACCATCAAAGGAGCGTTGACATTCAGCGTTCCATAACCACCTCTCGTTCTTTTTCAACAAACGAGAGAGGTGCACAGTCATCTCGGCGTAATTGCGTGAATACTTATTCAAATACGCCGCTAGCCCAAGGAACTTTCGAAGACCTTTGACATCGACCGGCACCGGCCAGTCGGTGATCGCCTTGATCTTTTCGGGATCAGGACGTACACCGTTCTTACCAACGATGCACCCAAGAAGTGGTATTTCGCTTGCTACAAATATACACTTCTTGAGATTTGCATACGATTGATGCTTTCGCACGATTGTAAGAACCTGTCGGACGTGGCATCTGTGAACCTCAACTTCCGACTTTCCATCCATAGCTCGTCAATGGATGAATACGTCATCGAAATAACTCGGCGCGAATTCTCGTACTGGTCTCAACAGATGTGATACACATCTGTTGAACGTGGCAGGGGCATTACTAAGCCCTTGTGGCATTACTAGCCATTCCCAGAGCATGCCGCTAGGCGTGCTAACTGCGGCATAGGGTATATCCCGTTCCCGCATTAGGATTTGATAGAAGCCATCCATCAAATCCATGGACGAAAAGATGGTACTCTTTGACATACCATCAATGATTACGTCTTTCCTGGGTATCGGCGTCTGAGACGGTACCGTTGCAGCATTCAATTTGTTGAACGCGTGCACTATCCGCCACCCTCCTGTTGCTTTTCGCACACAGAAGGTCGGAGAGCTATGTGGGGAAGTTGATTCCCTCACATGGTCCGCAGATAAACGATCGGCAAAGAGCTTGTCTATCGCAAGTACTTGTTCACGAGGCAGTGGCCACTGCTTCATGACACAGTACTTCGAGCCTGGTTTAAGCTCGACCTCGTGTCGAGTACCTTTATCCTTCGGTAATTCGCACGGAACAGTTTCAGGGAATACATCCTTGAATTTAACCAAATCTTCACAGAGAGGATTTTTCTTGAGCGATTCCCATGATTGGGAGTCATATCGCTCAACTCGTGTCTTTTCATCTAGGACGCTCTCGTCCATAGATGAACTACTGAGAACTCTATCGTTCTCAGTAAACACTGTTGCTGACCTTATGTCGGTTACACACTCGTCGTCAGCGACGAGTACGCAGATCTGCTTGACTTTGCCACTACGCAGATCACGCAAGAACCTTTTATGTTCGAGCGTTGGCAACTGAGTGATCTCCGAAGTCAACTTCGATGGCGCAATCAGATCAAGTGTGTAAGCGCCTACACTTGATCCGTTATTGACTATGACATTCAATGTCTCTGTCATTTCCTGGGGACTTATTCCCTCAGGCTTCGAAGGACTTATTCCTTCGGCTTCCCGGGGACTTATTCCCGCGGGTTTCGGGGAACTTATTTTCGCCGTATTTGTAATCTTGGGACTTATTCCCTTGACTTCCTCTAGCTGGGGTTGCGCAACCACAGCGATATCCTCTACGAAAGACTCTCCAGTCGATCTAGGATTATCGTTTCGCTTAACCTGAGCGATCGATTGTTTCTCTTCTAGATGTTCCCCGCTAGGGATACATCTTTGTCCCAGTCCACCCGACTTATTCGAGTGGTGAACCTTCGGCGCAGTCTGTGTTTCCTCACAGCCGCCGGAACTTTGCTCCGAAGTGTAACCGTTTGGTACACTAAGGTTTTGTGCAGTCGTACTAACGACCGTACCACAAGTGAGGCCATCGCACTCACTCGTAGTACATCCACACGCTTGTGGACGCTCCAAAACTTTCATCAGATGACCATCTGATGAACAAGCGGCAGGCATCGTTACTGTTCGATGTTGCCAGTTTACCCGTGGTTCATACCTTCTGAGCCACGGTATTCCAAGGAAGACATCAAATTTGTCATCCAAATCCAATACGATAAAGTCATCGTCAAATTGGGTATCTTCTAGCGTATAGTGGATCTTCACTATACGCTTCATGACGGTTAAGGATGCGCCTGTCGCAAGACGTACCGTCATCCTCGTAGGAGGTGTGTCACATTCACTGAGCTTGAAGTGACCATCTTCTAGCGATTGGCGTCGCACAAAATTGTTGGACGCCCCACAATCGACTAGAGCTCGAAGGGACAACTATTCGTCACTTCGAGTTTCAAGGTAATGAGTGAGATTTCATTACCTAGAGCAGCAACACACAACGTTTGTGTGTTGGGAGCAACCTTCATCAAGAGGCCTACAAATTCTCTTGACGTTGCTGGACCAGTAGGGTGCTCCGCACCTACTGATCTTGTCCGTTTTTTGACGGTCCATCCCATTGTTGCGTCTTTGCACCAACAGCGGACCCTCGTCCCTGTCCCTTTCTCATGGGTGGACGGTCACTACACCCAGTGTCGCGAGACACTGGACGAGGGGCACTACACTCGTAAGCGTAGTGTCCTGTCTTTTGACATCTGTTGCATCTCTGCAACTTCTTGTAGTCTGTAGAGCGAGCCTTCTCGCTCTCTACATAACAGAGTTCCATCGGCTCTGGACCTCCGCTGTCATATCGTCTCGGTTGACGATATGATGTCGAGCTGGCGCGAGCCTGTCTCAGACTGAAGTCTCAATGTTCCGCAATGGAAATCGCTTGTTCTAGTGAATCTAGTTCAAGTCGGAACAGGTGAGTCTTGACGGGACCATCCGCAAGACCCTGCATGAACACCGAAACCAACGTGTGTTCATCCACCGGGTTGGAACTTATACAACTCTTGAGATGTCGTATATGTTGCGCGTGTGTGTGTGTGCACATCACGTTTACCTTGTTTGAGCTTCAAGAGTTCAGTTCGAGCTCTGAACTGAGCTCTAGGCGGTTCAAACGTTTGTCTGAGCCGCGACTTGAAGACTTTTAACGACCCAAACGCATATGGGTCGTGCAACTTGAGCCCCAGTGCCCAAGTCTTGGCACGTCCTGCCAGATTTGATTGGGCAAATGCAACTTGCATATCCCCGTCGTCGATGCGACGCGCCCTTATGGCGTCATCCAATTCGACGAACCATCTCAAGAGGGAGTCCTCTTCGACTCCCCTATACTTGGAGATGTCAATCTTCAAGGTTTCGGGTCGACGTGAGTGCATCGACCCACCAGCATCAGCCTGCTGCTGTCTCAACAGTTCAAACTGTTGATCACCCTGTTCTCTCAACAACTCTGCTTGTTGAGAACCTTGTTGGTGAAGCAAGGCTACTTTCTCGCGTTCTGCGTCAAGTTCATTTTGAATGAACTTGGCGATAGTAGCATGTTGGGCATCTCTATTGAGAGCCTCTAGCATGACGCTAACAGCATGGATGCCCATGGTTGAAACCATTCGTTCGACCGCATCCCATTCGACATCGCTCAAATGGGAGTAGCCGTCACGCGTAGCGTGAAAGCTTTGGTCATCTTTATCATCCAACATATTCATGTTAGATGTGAACGCGGTCCTTGGACGGACTACGAAGTGCTACCAGGTGTAACGGGGCACCCTGAAGCTTGTACTGGTTACATTACAAGCTACTTATCCTGAAGACAGAATAAGGCGGTGCCTCGGAACTTCACGTACACTAGTACGTGCAGAGGAAGACGGTAAGAAGAAGCGAGTACTTGGTTAGAGTAAAAAGTAGAAATGCATTTATAATAGTTAATGTCTGCAATAAATCACTATTTATCTTCATCTAACTATGTCTAAATACAAATGTGTAAATCAGTTATCTGCTCACCACTCACTGCGTGCGTCTGTCGTGGCGTGTCTTCGTTGGTTGACATAATGGCCTATATCAACCATTTAGGAACTACTCGTAATGGCTACAGAATATTTGTCCTTATGACAATATTCCGAACATCACTCTAATAGTTATATTCTAGTAACAATTTCTTATAAATTGCTGTGTAACGATTCACCCCGTTACAGTGAAGGTGTAACGGGGTTGCACGAAATCATGGTACTTTGTACCAGAGGTGTTACACACCTGAGGGTTCGCTTCTGTGAAGGTGATCTAGAATTTCTTATCGGTTTGTAGGGGCTGACGAGTGTCAGCCATTAGATACGAAAGATCTTTGAGTAGGATTAAGATATTCTATAGGCTTTAACAAAAATAAAATCAGTTCCCATTATCTGAAAGACACGTGGCTTCCGAGCCGTCTTGATCGTTGATCTCTGATCACTAAGAGTTAGCGACACCTCCTTGAGGTAGCTACTCTTGAGCACTAAGTGCTGTCGATTCACTGAATCGTTAGGTCCCCTGGAACAGGGATCTGAAGCTATAAAGCTTGTCGACTTGAAAAGTCATTAGTTCTTTAGAACTAAGTTGCTCGTAGAGCGTTAAGTCTTCCTCTGACTTAAGGAGCTGTGTAGCTCCGCTACACTTGGTAGCACTCGAAGTCAATCGACGCCTGAGTCTTTAAGACTGATCCTCTGTGAGGATGGAAAACATCACTCCCCTATCTGAGGCCCAAAAGGTCGCGCTTGATAAGCTGACCGCATCTTTGGGTCCAGAGTACGTGGAGTTTCTTGTTTCACAAGGTCCTGAAGTGCTTAGTGCACGTGTTGAAAGCTTCATGCAGTATGAAGCGACCCTTTTAGGGCAGGTCCAAGACCAAATAGCTTCGGCTATGCCTACACGCTACGTGTCTGTACCAGACAAAGAGGCTAAGCCTCGTCCACTTAGAGTGGAAGTAAAAAACTACTCCGGTAAGGAGGGTGAGAACCTCATCCTCTGGATCTGTGAGATCGAGATAGCCATGAGATCAGGTCTGATCACGCTTGACCATCAACAGGTCTCGCTGGCTATCTCGAAGCTCGATGGTAGAGCTAGAGAATGGGCCTTGACGTGTAGCACGTCGGTGGACATAGCGTTTCCCACATGAGAGTCGCTCAAGTTACAATTGGTACAGGTGTTTCTCCACCTAACCAGGCTTACCGCGTGCGCTCACGCTTTCTTTCTACCCGCCAGGGCAAGAATGAATTATCGGACTATGTCCAAGAGCTGCGAACGCTCATGGCTGCAATGCAGTCTGACCCTTTGCCTGAAGCAGTCCATGTGACAATCTTCATGGAAGGTCTACGTAATGGCATTGCCAGAACCGAGGGTTTTCGGTTTCACCCCTCTACGTTTGAAGAGGCTGTGAAAATTGCTCTTAATGCTGAGCATAACTTCAAGTCGGCCAGACTTGGTTGGAATGGATTCAATCCGCGCTCTGTGAGAGCAAACTACTCGGGTACCACGGCCTATAATAGTCCGGAACCGATGGATCTCAGCTATGCTGAAGATGAAGGTGAAGCTGAGCTTCAAGCTGCTGAGCAGCAACACGTCGTACGACGATGCTTTACGTGCGGAAGCACTAAACACTTGCGGCCTGGTTGCCCTTTGCGTAAGCAACGCCAGACTACGAGCCAACACTCGAGCCCGAGTCAGAAGTCTGGCATGGCACGGGGAAATGCCGACACCCAGTAGGCGCGGGGCGCCCTACTGGGGAAGAATTGTGATCTGTTACACTTTTAGAAGGTAAAGGAATGCAGGGCTTAGCCCCAAAGAGTACCATACCTACGGGTATGGTGCGTGGATACAAGTCTGGCTTGTTGGTCGCCGAGGCGAAAAACAAGGGATTTGAGTGGCCTTGGTCTATATTGATCGATTCTGGAGCGTCTTGCAATTATGCTCGACGCCGTTCTCTTGAGGGAAGTCAGCGTTATGCTGAGGCGCTTACAGCGCATGAGGGTGATTCTATCACGGTTCGTTTAGCGACTGGAAGTCGCGTAACGGTGCCTAAAGTTCCATTGAACTTAGGTATAAAGTTTTTAGACTTTGACAGTATTGAGCGCTGTCTTGTCCTAGATTTGGACTCGAGATATGATCTCATCCTAGGTATGGCTTGGCTTGAGCGCCATGAGCCATGGATTGATTGGAGGTCCAAGACCTTAGGCGCTACGCGCAATGTTCCTAGCGAATTTTGGAGAGTCATGAACCCACCTTTGCTAGGCAGCAGAAGCGCTATTGGCGCGAGCCTTTGACAGAAGATGTCAATGTGCTGGATATTGTAATGTCCGAGTTATCTAACTCCAATGTTAAAATCATAAGTTTCGAGCCTAGCTCGTCTAAAACTAGTGAAACGGCACGTACTCCGTTGAGTGGTACTCGTTGTGATAACGAGTCACTGCATGCTGAAAGCATGGTTGGCCTAGGGCCGAGTGATCAAGGACGTGATTCCTTTGATGTGTGTATGGTGGCACGTGAAATTACACCGAGTGCGGTCGGCCGTGAGAGCACCGCACTGAATGTCGGTAATGGCGTTGTTGGCGATTCGCCATATGGTGTGGGCGGCCGTGAGGGCACCACACCTAATGTCAGTAATGATATTGCTGGCGATACGCCGTATAGAGTGAACGGCCGTGAGGGCACCACGCTTAACGCCGGTAATAGCGTTGTTGGCGATACGCCGTATAGTGTGGGCGGCCGTAAGGGCACCACACCTAATGTCAGTAGTGACACTGTTGGAGATACGCCGTATAGTGTGGACGGCCGTGAGGGCACCACACCTAATGTCGGTCAAGACAAAAGCTCTCGTGTAGAGCGTACTATGGTTGGTAGTAACAATGGAAACAATATTGTCCTGACCCCTAAGGGGTGTAAGGTCTCGAAGAGACAATCGAGACGCCGAGTAGCAGCTGTAAAGCGCCAGGCGTCCTCACAGTCACATAGTGAGATTAGCAATACACTATATTCACTTGTTAATGGAGTGACTGGTCATGTTAATGGCAGTGTTTTCCTTGAAACCATTCCATCTTTGGACGCTCTTTGTGAGCTAGATGAAATGTCTGATGGCGAGTTTAGCCAGGCCTTGAAGGCAGGAGAATTATCCGAATAAGCAGTCATTAGACCTGATACTGAGTTGAACTCGTCCTCGTTTATGGATGAGTCTTTCCTAGAGGATACAAAGGCGGCACTTAGTGCACGAAGTGGATCTTCGATCCTCAAAGATCCTTTGGATCCGTTCTATCCTTTAGTTAAGAAATTTCAAGATGTGGTGTGTCACAACCCACCTTCTGCCTTACCTCCCGATAAAGGGGTACGTCATGAGATTGACTTAGTTCCTTGAACTTAATACTGTGTAACACGGCAGTGGCCTTTGCCTAAAGAACAGTGTGACGTCATTGACGAATTTTTTTGTGCTAAGCACGCGGCTGGAGTGGTTAGTGAGAGTATGTGTCCCCATTCAACACCTTCACTTTGTGTCAAAAAGCCAAATGGCAAGTGGCGCATTGTGCATGCTTACAATAAGCTTAATGCAGCCACTTTACCAGCTCAGACGCCTATTCCTAGAAAGGATGTTCTTCAGAACAATATGGCAGGATGTACATTGTACAGTGCACTCGACTTAGTCGACGGTTATACCAACTGCTCATGCGAGCAAGAGATATTCCGCTAACAGCGGTGAGTACTCCGAGCGGTATGCTCTGGGAGTGGCTCGTTATGCCACAAGGGCTATCTAACGCCCCGGCTACATTTAACCGGTTGGTAAAGCAACTATTCAGACCTCATCAAGGCTATGCACAAACGTACTTTGATGACATTTTTGTCCATAGTCGTGCAATGAATGGGCGATCAGATGTGGATAACCACATCGATTATTTACGAGCGGTGCTCGAGTGCATGCTAACGAATAAGTTGTATGTGAACGCATCGAAGTGCATCTTTGGTGCAGAAGAAATTCCCTTTCTAGGGTGCTTCATTGGGAAGCGAGGCCTTCGAGCGAATCCCGCTAAGGTAAAAGCTACAGTCGATTGGCCAGTCCCCAAGAACCAAAAGGACTTGCGTAAGTGGCTCGGCCTTGCCAATTACTTACATAAGTACAGTGCGAATTACGCAGATATGGCTCGGCCATTGTCCAATCTCCTTAAAAAGGATGTGGGTTGGTGTTGGGGTAACACCGAACACGAAGCTTTAAAGCGGTTAAGATGAGTCTCCTTCATGCGCTAATATTGGCTTTGCCCGATTCTGGTCGGCGTTTCAGTGTCGTCTGTGACGCATCTGACTTTGCCATAGGCAGTGCTCTGTTACAAACAGATGGTGACGGACGCGAACGCGTCATCGCATTTGAGTCTCGCCAGCTTAAAGCTGCTGAAAAGAATATCCGGTTCATGACAAAGAGCTACTTGCTATGAAGTACGCTCTAGTCAAATTCAGAGTCCATCTGCTTGGCTCGAAGCCATTTGTGATCTATGCCGATTATGCGTCATTGTGCACTGCGACACAGTCGCCTCATCTCTCACATAGAATGGCTCGTTGGCTTTCCTTCTTTGCCGAATATAACTTCGAG